AACTTTTTTCTGTGAATAATTGCTGATGCCCGAATATTTACTTTAGGGGGAAAAATAGAAATGTTGCATTAAAATTTTCAAGTTACAATTTGACAGGTAAAAGAAAAGTTTTTGTAATACCCCAAGAAGTAGATTATTTGCAGAGCTTTTTATTCCTGAATAAAACCCAATTATTTATATTCATCTAGCACCGTAGTGAGGAAGAGAGAAGGGCCAGACTAATCATAAAAATATGCAGAAGATACGGGCTTGCTTTTTACATACAAGCTCCACCCATAAACAGCTTAGTAATTTACATTTTAACCTATGCCAGCTCATCATATATTGTACTTCAAAGAGCTGCACACAACTTTTTGACAATCAGCAATTCTGACAATCTAAAGGTAAAATTAAATTGTTTCAAATTCAGCTGTTGAAAATTAAGCCAAAATGTACTCAGTCTCAACAGCCCCAACTTCGGGGTTTTTTTCTGTGCTTTAGATAGATTGCCTACCTTCCCATACAGAGGATTCAAATCCTACAGCTATTTTCAAAATTCTGTTATTTACCAGGAAATATTTTGAAAAAATATTCAGAAAATAATTTTGCATAATGAAGCATTAATAGGACAAAATCACTAAGAACTATATAGCCTGTATATACAAATGAATTATGCACAGAAAACTGAATTAGGGAAGTATATGCATTACCTACTTAAACTGTAAAATATCATTCATATTTAGATTTATAAACACAAGGGTTGGGAACTATTGAGTTCTTTTGGCTAAAGCCCAATATTGGCCTTATTTCAGTTTAATTGGAAGAGGATCTTGAATTCATCTTCTCCATGAGATATCAGGAACCTGGATTTCTGTTTGTACCAAAGGTTAATAAGAAATGTGTCTGCAAAAGTCAAACAGCATTAAATACCAAAAACTGATTATTATTCTGCAGGAGTTGTTCTGTCATTCATAATCTCTCCATGCTCCAACCTTCCACAGCTAATCTTTAATGGATGACATGCAAGAAAGAAAAATAACATCTAAAAAGGGACTCTGAAGTGAGCTTTGAAGAAATGGAAAATACTTTTCTTCTGTGCTATAAGTTATTGCCACCCGAAGTTTATTACTGGCAAGATTACTTATTTCCTCTTACTTTATAGGATATTAAATCAAACTAACTCTAACCTAATAGCCACTTGGATATTTGTTTTCACTTTTGCTATTAAAACTATTGCATGTGCATACAGTAATTATTTTTCAAGTTCATTTTGGAAACTTCAAATAATGTCCATGAACATTTCCATACCATATTCAAGAATTCCAAAGTACCACAAATGTTAATTCTCAACATTTTTGTAAAAACAGACCTGAAAAAGGGACTTCATTGTAGGTGTGTCGCCGTAGTTTCCAAGAGACTGAAAGCTGTATAACATATACAGTAATATTAAAAAGATTGCTTTCCCCTTTTTCCACACTATATTTCCTATCATTACCCTGGTCTTTCAGAGAGCATCTGCAGAATGCTCATATAGTCGTCAGGCATTAAAGGTGGTGTGCAGCACCTAACAGACCTAGGAGGGCTGGACTCAATCAGCTGACTGATTTAAAAAAGTATTAGCTTTTAGTAACATTACTATTAGATATTGGCAAAAAACCCCCACAGAATAGCCCTTGCTACAGAAAGATTTAATGAGAAATATTTTTTATTATATTTTCCTTCGGAATTATTCTTAGTCCCAATATATAGCACTGTGATATCAACAAAAATATTCTGATAGCCAAGGCTCTGATGCCAACTATGGTATATATTGTTGCAGTAATGGTGGGAGTGACTGTGAGAAGACCGGGGCTTTGATATTTTTTCCAGTTTAGAGAGGTTACCACAATGCTCTACAATTCTCACACTCAACCAGCTCTTTTCCTCTAGAAGTTCCTATATACCCCCGTATAATTCTTTTGTTAGGCAAAAATGAAAAATGAAAAACTTACTATGTCCATCCAAAATGAGATCTGTTCTCTCTGCTAGCTCTTTTGAAGACTTACTCCTTTGCAACACTTCCACCCTTATCTTCCAGTCTGTCCTCAGAAGATGTACGGTCCTTCTCCCTTTCCCCTCCCACAGAGTGCACCCATTCCTTTTCTGTTCAACATATGAAAGTTCTGCAGTCCCACATTTCAAGATTTGTCTATTCTTCGTGCCCAGTTCACGTCGTGTTCACTCTTTTCCTTACACTATCCTAGTCTCTGTTCTTTCATGATGTGCTCTTCCCTCGATTTTCCTGATGTTGCCTCCACCTCTGTTCTTCTTCTCTTCATGATGGGGAGTGAAACTCATGGTACCTTCTGACGTTGGCTTATAATGACAGGAAATCCAACAGAAGAATAATGAAGAGACAGCAGGAACCTGTGGCAACTATGACCACCAGAAACAATAGTCTCTAATGCTTAAAAGCCTGCAACCAAAACTGACAATTCCCTAATTTTCATTAGCCATAGCTACCTGACACAGAGATAGGGACCCAAGGAAGTTCTAAAATCCATTTTCCAGGCTAGTAAAATTTAAAAATAAACACCTTCTGAAAATCAGTTATTTACTGCACACAATATTAAACAGTCTCTTCCATCGTGTAAATCTTCTGCCTTAACTCTACTTTTTCTTATTCTCTTATGAAGCATTTCACAAACTTACAATTTTCCTCTTCACTTCTTCATCTGAACAAAGGAAAATTCGTAAAGCAACAAGCTTTGGGCTATTTCTTTCTGAAGGCTGTTGTAGCTTAATTTTAAAATGGCCTTTGTCTTCAGCTTTTCTGTTCTTTCCATGGGACTTGTTTAGGTAAAACCCATCAATTAGAGGATTACATTTTAAAACTGAATTGTAGTATTCCTCAAAGTAGATAACATTTCTGATGTTTCTTACACTATAATTTTGTGGAGTTGTTTTCTTATCATAAAGTCAGTACTAAGTAATAATAAAAATGCAAACACCCATATTTACAAGCTTCAGTCTACTGTGTGTTATACAGTGCAGCAATTAAACATTAACTAGCAACATGAAATCACAGCAGCACGTGTTCTCCTTTCCTCAAAGGACTTAACACAAGGAGAAAAAGTTTTTCCTGACTCTTCTTTATTAGTTTCTGCTTGTCCATTAGAACTCTCCCCAAGGCTTTAGAGACACATAGACATCAAAAAAATTTGGTTCACATAATGCCAGAGCTCAAAACATTTATCCAAATTTAGTAGCATTCTTAGAACTGTAAGACAGGAAGCAAAAAAAAATGAAATATTAACAACGCTTCCTTTTTGCAAACAGCTTAAGGAGTAAGGAGTCTTTTGCCCTCTCTCTCTGCATTTAAAGGATTTTATACTTCCTGAACTTGTAAAAGGAGAAAAAAGGGTATTTTTTTAAAGGTCATATTTATTACACATTGTAGCTGTCATTAAAATTTGGCTTAATCTTCCTTTTAAAATGGAATAGTCATTTTAATTATTGTAACCATATTCATGACATACTGTTTTGAAGAGAATATTATGCATAGGACATAATTAGAAAGTTTAAACAGTAATGTAGGAAAAAAATTATTAACAAATATTTCAAATGTATCTGTAAAAATGAAACTAAACATGTTTTTTGACACACCTTTTGACATACATTTCTTTCCAGGTTTTAACAAGCAATGAACACTTATATCAAAGAGAATATTTTTCTATTATAGGTACAGAGGTAAAACACTGTGCAAATATCCAGGAACAAACACAAAACTTGGGATTGAACCCAAACAATTTGCATTAGCTTTCAGCTGCTGGATATAACTATGATACGCAGTGTGGACTTTCTTCTTCTGAAAATAAACCCAGCAGTTTATGAAAAACAAAATAAGAATAACATTATTCCTGTATATCCTATATATATTTTTTTCCTAATATGTAGATTAGATTTGCTTTTCCCTTCCTCCACCACAGAAAATCTAGGAACTCTCTCTACCTTCTATAATATACACAGAATACTGTATTCTCAGGAGTTTGACACTAAATGGAAAGTCAGCCAACTGTTTTTTCAGCTGGAGAGTTTATTTCCTGCTCCATTTTCCTGAAGACAGTTACACCTCCCATCAGCATCAATAGTTTGGGGACAGGTATTAGTACTATTAATAATATATGAAGCGTGCGTGGTCTATGAGGACACAATTTTACCTAGCTTACACTTCATTTATGAAGAAATGATATGATGAATTTATAAAAGCAGTCCCCTTAATTTCTTTGAAATACTTGGTGAAAAACGTCAGAGTATTTCTCATCCACCGGATACATTGAACACACAGTCACTTTTCAATAATAAAAATACTCAGCTTCATACCTTTAGAAATTTTCAAAACCATAGAATACAAAACTGTCTTTATTCTTGTATGTCTACTCAAAGAGCAATTAATAACAAATAAAAGCGTGCATTCACTTTCAACTATAAACTTAAAAACCTTTCATTTGGGGAATTTGCATAAACTTCATTCACTGGAGACATACCATCATCAGACAAACATTCATTAACTACCAAAAGAACAGATTTTTCAAGAAAGTGCAGGTCTCTAGTTGAGGTGAATGTGCGACTATCTCCATACACGGGGAGGGGGTAGTATTGCTCTGAACAAGCTAAAACAATAAGTGGTATTTGAACTGCTGGTTGAAAGGTAGAGGCACTGGTAATCATTATTTCCCCTTGTTTGTTCAGGACCTTCCAACAAAACAAACAACCTTTTTGTGATTGGATTGACATGGTGTTAACAATGCATTTAATGCCCAAATCAGTATGAATACAGGTAAAGCTCCTGCTAATACCAGTACCAGGATGTTAAAGCCACCTATTTTCTAAGCAACTCTAAACAGCCACACATTTAAAAAAAAAAGCCAAATCTTCCCTCCTTTAGCAAATAAAGCTAACATTCACTAGGCCACGTCATATAGCAACCGCGGGTACTGTATGAGCCATACAGCCATCTGTTAAATGCTCGTCTATGGTACCTGCAATCTTTTCTGCAATCTTAGCTTCTGCAGCTCTCTCTTGCAGTTCTAAGTCCAGTTTTATTGTCTTCAGCTCCTTGTCCTTTTCAGACAGCTTATCTTGAAGCTGAATTGAACAAATGAACAGTGAGATTCTTATCTAGCTGAAACAGTCAACCAGCTCTTTTAACTACAACAAAATTTTAAATAATAGTTTCTTACCCCCAAAACACAAGCAATAAGCAATACAACAGAAGCTCAATTAATTATATTTATTTATTTAAAGGACAAATGTCAAAAATATCTTTTTTATCATCTGCCCTATCTTGCTCTGCGAGACAAGCAGCAATGTATGTGCCATTATTTTTATTTGGCATTCTCTTCTTCAGGTATCACCAGCTGTGGTCCTCCTTGCTAAGGAAGTTCAGAATTACATGGAATATAACACAGGTGGTGCACCTGCATGAATAGCCTATTTCCCACCAAGAGTACTGACACCATAGCCCGAAGAGACTGTGGTGTAAATGCTTAATTTTTCATGTGCATCGCCAGACAGAAAACTGGTATTCTTGCACATGTTGAGGCCTTTCTTTTAACTGGGAATTGACTAAATCTGTTCTTGGACAGATATCTGAGCTTGCCATTGAATACTCAATGACGCTTCATTGACTATAGACTTTTCTGTTGTTCAGGTGCATGCAGCCACTACGAATGCAAGAAACAATGCGGTGTGCAAATAGGATGGAATTTTCTTCCCCTCAACAAAGAGGAGGTATCAGGGTACATTCATTATCTGGAACACATGTACAGAAGCACGAGCTCCAGATTCTGTTCATGAAATCCCAGCCTTGGTTTTGGTCCTCCTTGGTTTTCATCCATGATGCAAGAACCTATGTCACTGATTAAAAAGGTCAAAGGGTAGGATGAAAGATTTTTTTAATTCCAGAGAAGTAGTTGTTAAGCAGATACTAAGAATCCAAAATGACAAGAAAGCTATTGATTGGTGCACTAAAATAAATAACAAAACTAAATTAGAAACAGTTTAAAATGTATGTTTTGTAAGACAACCATAAAAGAGCAAATACTGTGATCTGAATATCTCAATTGTACCTTTTTATTTTTGGCCCTCAGAGTGTCCAATTCTTTTAAAAGGAATGAAGTTTCTGTTTTTCCACCTAAATCTGCAGCATCCTTCAATGAGGATATATATTCAGGGATCATCCTGTTAGCCTTTCTTGCTACGGTGCTGTGTTTAGGAGGGAAAAAAAGAGAAAGAAAAATAACGCAAAACCAGTTCCTCCCTCCCCACCCCCAAAATAAAATACACAGAAATAAATTATCAAAAATTGTTGACCATTGCAGATGTATTAAATAACCAGTAAAAGGGATGTCCTTCTATCACTTCTTAAATCAGTAATTCTGAAAAAAAATCTGTAATTCTGGAATAGTAAATAAATATGCTACAGTGCTAAGGCATAAACCAGATGAGTACAAATTGCTATGAAGCCTATAAACAGAAAAAGCCTAAGGGAAGCTTATATTAAAACCCTGTGCTTAACATGGAGCGACAAAGTAATGAAACATTTTGGGGCCAAATTGATGCTCATGTTAAAAGAAACCAAATTCTTCAGCAGG